ACAAATCTTATAACATAGGTTCTCCCTGTCTATCTGCAGTCTTCTCTTCTCTACAGCCTTTCAAAGTCCAGAATTTTTAAAGCTTTCATATACCAAGGTGCAGAGAGCTGAAATTACACACTGCAGAGTTCAGTGAGGAGAGCTTTGAGAGCTGTTTGGATAGAAGAGACACACCCCCTTCACACAGCTCACAGGAACCGAGCTGAGGCTGTCAATGGGCTGGAGGTCCCTCCCCTGTCTCCATTTTTCTCTTGGTGTCAGGAAAACTTGTCAGAAGTGATTCATGCAGACAGCAGAGGAATGAAGCAGCAGACGGAAATGACACTTAGTGCTCCTAGCTGAGACAAGTACACACTATAGAGGGATATGTTTTGTTCATATTTTATGTCAGGTTTACAACTACTTTAAAGTGGTTCTAAAGGCATTCTATGCATTAGGCTCCATGTACACTGGGCATTTCAATAACGCTGGTAGCATTAGCTGTGTAAAGTTGCATAAAAAAACTTTAGTTTTCAGCGGTTTCTAGCGTTTTTGCAGTAGCGTTTAGCCATCTTTTTCCGCGTTTTGTGGGTTTTAGTGATTTTGTAGACAAAAAAATTTTGTCCAAAAACACTGGTTTGCCGCATTTTACCACATTTTAGCTAATAAAACTCCTCTGTAAACCCACTGGTTCTGGGTTTCTTTTCCATCCAAAAATGCTGATTAAAGCCTATGTGTGCATGGACACATAGGATAACATACTGTGGAGTTTACTGGCTGTAGAAAAAAAAAAATGACAAAAGCCAAAAACAGTCGCTGTAAAAATGTCCAGTGTGCATGAGGACTAAAGGTAAAAAAAAACCTTTGGGGTGCAGCTCCCCCCTTATTCTTACTTGAGCCCCATCTCGATCCAGCGATCTGCATGAGTGCCAGGTCTCTCCCAGTTCTCGCTCTCCTTGTTGGATCACACAGCAGCGGGAGTCATTGGCTCCTCCTGCTGTCATTCACAGCCAGTGAGCCAATGAGAGAGCAGGGAGCAAGAAATCAAGAAGCTTGCTTTTGTGGGTACTTGGCAGGGGAGGAGCCAGGACCACCAACGGGGGACCCAAAAAGAGGAGGATCGAGGCTGCTCTGTGCAAGTAAGTATAACATGTTATTAAAAAAAAAAAACACAACTTTTCCAATCACTTTAACACCTGTAGTGCGGGCGCAACCTCACTGCAGGAGAAATTTACATTTCCCGGAGTTGAGCTTTAAAAGCTGTCACTAATTTGTGTAAGGGTCAAAAATTAATGTTCTCTTTCTTACCTACATGGTATCCTTATAGTTTATATGAACGGCTTAACTCCCCCATAAAGACTGCACCTGGTGCTTTAAATGGGATCTGATGCCCAAGACCAGTAGAATCTTTCTGCACTGTGATTGGTTGCCCATCCTACCAACTCTTGATCAGCAGTATGTGACTACAAGATGTTGATGGCAATTCGGTTACAGGCCTGGGGGTACAGATGCAGTGTACCCCAGAACAACACAGTGATACGTGTATGCTGGATGTTAAGGCCCATCCACCCTGCCACTGCATACATAGTGGTCGTAAATGGGTCATAATGGTCAAGAAAAGGGGTCTCCAAAGTTTTTAAACAAAGGGCCAATTTACTGTTCTTGATGCTTTAGGGGAGCCAGGCTATGGGAGTAGAAATTGACCTGACATCTAGTGAGAGTGGTACAATGCCCTATCTTTGGTGTCAGTGGAAGGAATAGTACCCCATCATTGGTGTCAGTGGGAGGAATAGTGCACCCTCATTGGTATCAGTGGAAGGAATAGTATACCATCACTGGTATCAGTGGGAGGAATAGTGCCCATCATTGGTATCAGTGGGAGGAATAGTGCCCATCATTGGTGTCCGTGGAAGGAATAGTACCCCATCATTGGTGTCAGTGGGAGGAATAGTGCACCATCATTGGTATCAGTGGGAGGAATAGTGCACCATCATTGGTATCAGTGGAAGGAATAGTACACCATCATTGGTGTCAGTGGGAGGAATAGTGCCCCATCATTGGTGTCAGTGGGAGGAATAGTGCACCATCATTGGTATCAGTGGGAGGAATAGTGCCCCATCATTGGTATCAGTGGGGGGAATAGTGCCCCATCATTGGTATCAGTGGGAGGAATAGTACACCATCATTGGTATCAGTGGGAGGAATAGTGCCCCATCATTGGTGTCAGTGGGAGGAATAGTGCCCCATCATTGGTATAAGTGAAAGGAATAGTGCCCCATCATTGGTGTCAGTGGAAGGAATAGTGCCCCATCATTGGTATCCGTGGGAGGAATAGTGCCCCATCCTTGGTGTCAGCAGAATGAATTGTGCCCTTTTGTTGGTATCAGTGAGAGGAATAGTGCCCCATTCTGGTGTCATCATTGCTATCAATGGAAATAATTCTGCCAATCATTTTTGTCAATGGAAAGAATTGTGCCCTATCATTGGTGTCAGTGTTTGGAATTATGCCCTTTTGTGGGTGTCTATAGAAGGAATAGTGCCCCATTGCTAGTGTCAGTGAAAGGAATAGTGGCCCATCGTTAGTATCAGTGGAAACAATTCTGCCAATTGTTGTCAATGGAAAGAATTGTGCCCCATCATTGGTGTCAATGAGAGGAACTATGCCCTTTTGTGGGTGTCTGTGGGAGATATAGTGCCCCATTATTGGTGTCTGTGACAGGGATTATGCCCCATTGTTTGTGTCAGTGGATGCATGTAATAGTGCCCAAGAGCCAGATAAAGGCAAGCAAGGGGCCGCAGTTTGGAGACCACCAGTCAAGAAGAAAAAGGAGAAACACACTCATCAAAATTTGGAACTTTATAGGTGCAAAGTCATTCAATACCACACAAAATTAAAGATAAAACCATTAGAGTTTATTACATACATAAATTTAAAAGAATCAATTTGTTAATTCAGAGTGGCTGAAAATTTGACGAAATACAGTCTCACAAATGATAGTTCCAAACATAGTGTATATATACGGTGTGATGAATCCCAACATGTTTCGTCCATCAAGCTTCCTCAGGGGATAAGGTCTATCAAACTGTGAATTAACACAGTAATAATATGATAATAAATAATGCTTTAAATATATAATTCTAATGGCAAAAAAAAATGATAATTTAAAGCTATTGCTAGGGAGGTTTTTTTTTTTCTTGGGAGGGTGTATGTGATCAGCACAGGGCCAATCAGCGCTCTGCAGACAGAAGGTCAAGGGTCCTGCAGTCTCTTAGGACAGTCGGTAGAGAATTAAAACTCCTCCTACAAGCTTTATCCAGTGATCTGCTGGACACTGATAGACGTCACAAGACTGCTCTAACCGCTGATGAGAAAAGGTATTTAGCAGTTTATATTTACTAAAATAATTGCATTTCCATGTTCTGTGTACTGTGGGTGACCAGATATAGAGAATGCAGGGTCCAGGGAGACCAGATATAGTGAATGCAGGGTCCAGGGAGACCAGATATAGTGAATGCAGAGTCGGGGAGACCAGATATAGGGAATGCAGGGTCCAGGGAGACCAGATATAGTGAATGCAGAGTCCGGGGAGACCAGATATAGTGAATGCAGAGTCCGGGGAGACCAGATATAGTGAATGCAGAGTCCGGGGAGACCAGATATAGTGAATGCAGAGTCCGGGGAGACCAGATATAGTGAATGCAGAGTCCGGGGAGACCAGATATAGTGAATGCAGAGTCCGGGGAGACCAGATATAGTGAATGCAGGGTCCGGGGGAGACCGGATATAGTGAATGCAGGGTCCTGGGAGACCAGATATAGTGAATGCAGAGTCCGGGGAGACCAGATATAGGGAATGCAGGGTCCTGGGAGACCAGATATAGTGAATGCAGGGTCTGGGGTTTAGTAACACTTTATTTAATTATTGGGATTCAATATGTGTGGCTTTTTTCCCCTGAAGACAACATGCAGGTATTTTTTTAGCGTTTTTCAGTAGCATTCAGAAGTCTGTAGGAGTGTTTGTGTTTTACTAGCGGTTTTTACAGTACATGTTGAGGGAAAAAGCCTGAACAAAGCTGCTTGTAGTGTATTAATAGCGTTTTTTTTTTTTTCTGCTGGAAAAACGCTCCAAAAAAACTCTACAAAAAATGTTTTTTTTCTGCTCCTAGACACTGAAGCTCAAAAAATGCTACTGGCATAAAGTAGTGTGCACAGACACATAGGGTAACACTAGCTTCTAGGAGCTGAAAGAAAAATGCTAATAGCTTCTAGGAGCTTAGAATTATATATTCAAATCTGTACTTATTATATCTCTTGTTGAAACAAAATGTATTTTTTATTTTTGTTATAAGGCATTGATTATCTTTTTGTTAGTTCCTTCACAGTGTAATAGACCTTATCCCCCTCAGGAAGCCTGATGGGCGAAACATGTTGGGATTAATCACACCTTATATATATACTGTGTTTGGAACTATCATGTGTGAGACGGTAGTTTGTAAAATTTTCAGCCACTCTGAAATTTTAACAAATTGATTCTTTTACTTTTATGTATGTAATAAACTCTAATGGTTTTCTCTTTCATTTTGTGTGGTATTGAATGACTTTGCACCTATAAAGTCCCAAATAGGAGTGTTTTTTTCTCTTTTTCTTCTTGTACATTCAAACTGGGGGACAAGGTGCTAAGATTCCTCTCCTGACTCTATTGCTGGTGGGGTCATAATGGTCATAAAAAAAGCTTTTTTGGTTTTGCCAGCTAATGCAGCTCCCACTCTACTTTTGGCTCTCTGCTACCCAGTGCTGGTGTCATGCCTGCACCCCCATCTATGCATGGTCATTCACGTAGCCCTGGGTACATAGTCATGGGGGAAACCACAACACTCGCACTAGACCTTCTTACAACAGAATTCTAATTCTATGCTATATCCCAAAAACGGGGATCATTTTTTTCCAAAGATTTCAGAGGTGGTGGTTTTTGGTAATATCCATATAGGTGAATTAGAACTCTAGCACCTATTGTGACCCAATCAAGCCATTCCAGCACCCCTGCAAGAGTTGCATGCCAGACTCACGTGCCCATCACCCTTCAGGTCACTCACCCTGCGGCCACACCCCATGCCACTTTGAGCGCCGATTCTGTCAATTCGAGATCCAAAGCAGTCGGATGGTCTTCTCATGCTGCGGGGAGCATTCAGCAATTCTCGAAGTTTGTTCCTCAGTGGAGATGATTTCTCTCGCTGTGCCCAGGACCCTCTGTTATACGCCATGTCGGCCCCAGGCCGGGCTGCTTCCCCAGTCCAGGATGGTGCTGAGTTTGAAGAGTCAGAGGAATCATAATTTGGAGCAAACATGTCTTGAACTGGAGCCTCAGCTTCTTCTACTGGGAGTCTGTCTTCTAAACGTTCTAGGAGACCCTGAGGAGCAGAACAGATCATGTTATCAGACAGACTGAAAAAAATTCCACAAAAAGTTTGGAATTTTATGGTACCATCAATATATATCACAAATCATACAAAACTTTGTTTTAAAAAGACTACCTAAAGTGGACCTTAACTTTTAAAATAAGTGTCATATAGCTGTGCCTCCTCCCTCTCTCACAGTTGTATGTCATTGTTAGATGTTAACATATTGTTAACATATTTTTTTGTGCTGCAAAGCAACCCTTCCACATTTCTTGCCTAGGCGAAAGTGATGTTTTCCCTCCCCAGAATACGCATGTGCGCAGGGGCAGACTGACAACTCATGGGGCCCCCGGGCAATAGGGGATCATGGGGCAGCTGTGTCCTTGCCCAAACTCAAAAAGGCCTATGAAAAAGGTACCAGGGGCATCTCATGGGGGCCCCCTACTGACCCTGGGCCCTCGGGCAGTGCCCGAGTTTCCAAATGGTCAGTCCGCCCCTGCATGTGCGTGAATCTAGTGGTACAGCTGAGCACGCACGGGTTTCTACTTAACATCTGTGCATGCTCAGGAATTTCCTGCACATGCGCAAAGATGGCAAATTTTTGGGACTTGCGTAATAGCAGCCTTTGCACATCTGCAAGAAACCCATGCCTGTGCAGATGTTCAGCAGACAGCCTTTCATCACATCTGCGCAAGCACCATAATGGCGGCACCAGGGGGATGCACCGAACCCACTAAAGAGGGGACTGAAATTCCTCTTTAATTCTTTCAACTTTGCCATATGCCATATGCCATATGAGTGAAAATAAATTGAATAATTTTGCAAAATGTCACGAACTGTATTGTAGTTAATAGGAAAAGTAAGTGAAGGTGTTTTTTGAAATTTTTAAGGGTACAATTGGTTTGAAGTGACTTTTGAGAGAATCACCTTTCACCTATCCTGGACCTGTTCTTGAGGCAAAAATGGACCCTCATTTACCCTATTGTATTATGCTATTTTATAGAAAGATAGTAAAAAAAAAGTAAAACAGATTTTTAAATTTCCAAAAAGAAACTATTCAACAATCAAATACACAAAAGAAAAGACAAATACAAGGAGTTCCACTTACCCTGTCAAAAAATAAAAGTCAGCAGCTACAAAAACTGTAGCTGCTGACTTTTAAAAAAACAGCCACTTACCTGTCCCTCCGCCCCGTGGTGTGTCCCCCGCAGCCTGTTTCACCGGCCGTCCTGTATTCCAGGAGGCCGGCATCTTCAGTGTGGGCACCCAGCTGTGATAGCTTGTGGCTTCACAGCCGGGTACCCACTGCGCATGCGCAAGTAGCGCTGGGCTTTTCATGAATGGTCCTGTAGTCTTATGGGACCTGTCACATGTCCCAAAAGACTACAGGGAGGGAGGGAGGACACCTTCCGTTTGCGATTGCCTAGGCGATCGCATCAGAAGTGGGTGCGGGTACCTGTCAAATTTGGGTAGCCACTCCCCCCCGCCCCCCAAAGGTGCCAATCCTTAATGGGGAGCCGGGGAGCAGTCCTTAAAGCGGAACTTCCCCTTTTGGATGGAGCGCCGCTTAAAATGATTTACATAACTATCACCTGGGATTCACACAAGTTTACAATGAAATCCAATCAAAAAAAAAAGATTTATGGATCTTTGAAAATCCGGGAGCCGTAGTTGACATATGCTTTTCCCAGCCTCCCAGCCTGGAAATATTTGAGCAAACTTGGGAACACTGGCTCAAATACATCTCAGGGAAGACCTAATGCTCCCTTATGATGCCTCTGACTTACCAGTGGAGAGGACTAAACAGTTGTTTGTTTTCTTTGTATTCTTTACTTTTCCACTTTATATTAATCTTTTCCTTTCTTTTTGAGAGAGCAGCTGTCAGCTCTAGTGTCCTTACCTATGGAACAAAGTGTTAGGGCCCCTGGGAGATGCGCAGGAATATGAAACTTTCCCTGATGTGGAGTTGGTTTAGACTCTACTTTATGCCATGATGGACAAAAGATATCTTGAGAGAGTCAGTGTCCATATTAAGGTATTCCTGGATGAGATGGTCTCCTTTGTCCCTGAATGACTCAAGATTTTTCAGGATGGTGTGTGATCAATAGAAGATCAACAAGTTCTAGTCTCTATGGATACTTGGGTTTAATATATTATTTTCTACAGTTTAAATATTTTTTCATAAGTGTATTGGCTTCTATGTTCAAATTTCACACTCTGAAACACCTGATTGTTACCCACTCTCGTGTTTTGTTTAATGGTATTTGTATGGGCTCTCTTGTTTTGTACTTTCACTTTGAAATCTAATTAAAAAAATTGAAAAATTAAAAATTAAATTGCTTGCTTAAATTTCACCCTGGGAAGGAAATTAGGAATTACAGCTTCAGTGAAATTTGTGCCAATTTACATTTTTACTGAAATAATTCCAAGTCATATTTGAAAAAAAAAAACATAATTTTCATCATACACTTGTCCTTTATACCTTTTAACATCATATAACACATTTTGGTGACACATTTCAGTAAACAAAACACACTTTCTTAGAGATACAATGATTTTAGATGAGTGTTTTGAGTGCTTTGATCTGAAGTAGAGAGTTGCATCCCTGAAAAGCTGGTCCAGAAAAACACTAATTAAAAAAAAAAAAATAGTATCTGCTCTTTGGTTGTAATTACATTTTTTACTCTTTTTTTAATTATTTATTTATTTAAAAAAAATTTTGCTGTTGCTAATCTGTCCCTTCTCTTATATTTAACACAAGTTAGAGACAGATTTTTTTTTATTAACTTGGGGTAATAAATTGGCTGTACAAATAAACATAACAGCAAAATTATAAAAGTTTCTTGCCAGTTCTACATTCTGTGTCAGTTCTGAGGTCAAATTGAATTTCATCCCTATATAAATGCTCGCATTTGAAATACAACAAAGAAAGGAAGATAACAGTCACTATTTGGCTGCATGATCATGCAAAACGAAACCTTTTGTTTCGGTTGAAAAATAGACCCAAAAATGAATGCTAACAAATTCATATTCCAAATGAGTACTGTCCGTAATACTTTTTTTATTTCTTTATCCAAATGGAATGCAAACTGCTGATCTGTATAGGGAGGGGATTGCTGTGCTGATTTACTGCACAAAAGGAAGTTGCAGCACTTTATAAAAAGTGTATGGCATAGAATCTCCCCCCCAAAAAAATGTCATTTCCAGGCTATTTCTCCAAACGTGTCCATAGTTCAGATGACCTTTTAGAACAATTTATCAGATTTTTTTTTGTCCTAGACATGATTAGATCATTACGATTGGTGATTGAAGTTGAAATGAAAATGTCAGCATTAATATTGTATTGAGTCTTCTATGTGTCCTTGCTGATGTTTGAATCTTTGAAGAAAATGATATGAATTTAGACGTAATAAGAAGTGCAAAGAGCAGTGATGGAGTGCAGGGGGTAGATATCGGCAACAACCAATAAAATAACAAAGTGCTACCACTTAAACATTACCTAGATTGCAAGCTCCAAGGATCAGGGCCCTCCTAACCCCTCTTGTATTGAACTGTATTGTTACTGTCAGGGGCGGACTGACCATTTGGAAACTCGGGCACTGCCCGAGGGCCTGGGGTCAGTAGGGGGCCCCATGAGATGCCCCTGGTACCTTTCTCATAGGCTTTTTTGAGTTTGGGCAAGGACACAGGGGCCCCATGATCCCCTATTGCCCGGGGGGCCCCATGAGTTGTCAGCCCGCCCCTGGTTACTGTACTGTCTCCCACTATAATGTAAAGCGCTGAGCAAACCGTTGGCGCTATATAAATCCTGTATAATAATAATAATAATAGTAAACATCCTACCAATTCTCAAACCATAAAGATAGCAAACCGCATCTCTCAAATTGCTCTGGAATACAACTCCCAGCATATATAGCTGTGCAGCAAGCAGGACATGAACCCATAAAAGTCCCTAAAAGTGTGATATGCTTCCAATTAAAATATTAAATGTAAATTCAGTAAAACGATAATGTCTAAAATGTTATTTCATCTCCAAATAGTTTTCTGATCAAATATTTTTATTTCACATCAGCACACAATCATTGTTTTTTGAACAGTTAATTATTATAAGCAGGGGTGAGCAAAACTGAGAGTTTTAATTTCTCAGACATTTTTATTAATTTTTGGTGAATATTATTTTTTACTATGTGCATTGGGTCAAAGGGGAAATCAAAATGATGGTAGTTTTTAAAAGTGCAGTGGGCGATAACTGGTTCCTAAGGGTTAGAGAAGCTCCTTTTAAGTAACCTAGACCTTGTCTTGCTCCAAAAACATTTTTCACAGTATATAAAAAAACAGAAAAAATATTATTAAAAATATGTAACAACTCCTCCTCTGTCTATCCCTAACTCCTCACGCAGCTTTGGAGAGTCATTACCCCCACTGGCCAAACTCTTTCTGATATGTTATTACCTCTTGCTAACAATTTTTACTCACTTGACACTATAAGATATGCTGCATTGTTTTCTTGACTCTTTCTCTCCCCCTTTCTATAAGGACATTGATACTGTGACGACTATTATTCCCTGTGTTTTGCTGTCAATGTTATGTCTCATGCCTACTGTAAATGTCTCCCTCCCTATGTTGCAATGCCAATAAAAAGTTTGAACAAGAAAAATATGTAACAACTGCACAAAGAACAAAATGTGCACACAAAATTCATATGAGCATACAAAATATGGACACACAAAAAAAAACACAAGTATAACAATACAAAATTAAATAAACTTCCCTAAGTATCCCTAAAAACTACTTCTCCTTACCCCTAAAAAACACACCCTCTAAATTTTACCAGTAAATGAGCAAAATCTTTCCCTTTTGGGTAAAATATTGCTGATAAAATTAATAATTTTGTAGTAAAATTTTGCAAAGATCCATGATTGTATGCTTCTATTTTTCATGAATTTTAGTTTTCTCTTCAATCCCAATTTCCAACTTTTAAAGGCGTTAAAAAATCCCTGCAATTGTTTTTTTTTAACCAATACAAAAAGATACCGAGCATGCAATTAACTTAGCTGATCTGCTTGATATAAATAAATAAATACAGACAATGATACCAATTATTTAGCAATTATTCTCATTACGCTATGTGCATGTGCTATACTAAATCAGAAGCAGCAAGGTGACTTTTTTCTTTCAGCCAACAGTGGGTGGTAATCAGGACATTCAGAACTTGTTTAGAAAATTAATTATTATTCACTTTTTATGGCTATTAATTATTCCAACTGACTCAAACAGCTTTTCTCAACTAGGGTTCCTCCTGAGGTATCTAGGGGTTCCTTGAGCAGCAAGCTATGTCTAATTGATCACATACCTGTAGTGACCACCAAAGCAAGAAGGAATTTCTATGGTCGCCACTAATGTGACAGAACCAAAAATGTTACTGTCTGTTATGATTATTCATTTATTTCACAATTAATACTAAAAAAAAAAATTTTTTATACAGAGCACGTGACCAAAAAAGCATCTGTCAGGGGTTTCAAACATGCTAGCTATGCCATACTATTTATTCCTATATATAAAATGTTCTGCAATTGAGTGATAATGGTAATGCACAGCAAAATATAGATATAAATATTTTAAGCGGGGCTTCCCCTGAGACCTAAAAATATTTAAAGTTTTCCTCTGGGGTATAGAGGTTGAGAAAAGCTAGGTTTTAGATATGTGTACAGCTGCTGTAGGAAATTTCTCTGTAAATTTTCTCCATATTTAACCAAAGCTTTTTGTGGATGTATTTTTCCAATGTGTTTAGACCTTTTCTTTGTTTTTAAACATTAAGAACAGTTTCCCTTTTTTTATGCTCAAATTATCAATGAAAATTTACACCACAGGTGACAAAATGTAACATATTTTGGTGAAAAGGTCATTTTAAAACATACAATGTCATTGACAGTTTCTAATATTTAATACATATGCTGACCCTGCTTTAGCCTAAGATGGCTGATAAAAGAACCATTGGAATGATTTTTAGCTGCTCTTCACACTGAAAAGCTGAACTAAAGGTTTCCTTGTGTCTTCAATGTAATGTTTGGAATTTTGGTATACGTCATCTACGGTATGATATCCTTTCTTTTGATTAATGCCCCCTGAAGGGGATCTAGTCACTGAGCTGTGGAGGCCAGGACCCCATATATCTCATAGTGAGAACATGGATGCCCCCAAGGGGGGTGGAGACCAGGACCCCGTGGGGTTTATTTACTAAAGCTGGAGAGTCCAGAATCAGACTCCCTTCTGCATAGAAACCAATCAGCTTCCAGGTTTCATTGCCAACGCATCATTGAACAAGCTGAGGTTAGAAGCTGATTGGTTTCTATGCAGAAGGGAGTCTGATTTTGGACTCTCCAGCTTTAGTAAATAAACCCCCATATGTCTCATAGTGAGAACATGTAATCACATTTTTAATGCCCCCTGAAGGGGATCTAGTCACTGAGCTGTGGAGACCAGGACCCCACATGTCATAGTGAGAACATGTGATCACATTTTTAATGCCCCCTGAAGGGGACCTAGTCACTGAGCTGTGGAGACCAGGACCCCATATGTCTCATAGTGAGAACATGTGATCACATTTTTAATGCCCCCTGAAGGGGATTTAGCCACTGAGCTGTGGAGACCAGGACCCCGTGGGGTTTATTTACTAAAGCTTGAGAGTCCAAAATCAGACTCCCTTCTGCATAGAAACCAATCAGCTTCTAACCTCAGCTTGTTCAATGAAGCTTTGGCAATGAAACCTGGAAGCTGATTGGTTTCTATGCAGAAGGGAGTCTGATTTTGGACTCTCCAGCTTTAGTAAATAAACCCCCATATGTCTCATAGTGAGAACATGTGATCACATTTTTAATGCCCCCTGAAGGGGATCTAGTCACTGAGCTGTGGAGACCAGGACCCCATATGTCTCATAGTGAGAACATGTGATCACATTTTCTGGTAATGGTATTATGGAGCTACAATACAATTGTGTTATTGAAATCTTTAACCCAGAATACCCATGTGGGACATTTTAATGCCCCTCTTTTAGTTTAATATGTAACATAATATGAACAACTTAGAATATGATTAGGAACTCGTTTAATTTAGGGCTATGATATTAATATTATTACTATTATTATTATTATGTAGGCAAACAGCCCAAACTTTTTCTTTAAGTTTTCAATGTAGTAAGTGCGGGTTAAAACGCCCTGTCAAGTTGTAATTATTGTCTGTATTTTCACTGGGGATTTAACCCTCTTTGTTCCTCCTGGTGACCACTTTCACTGGAGAAGGTTAAAAAAATCCAAAATTTGAGTTGTCACTGGAACAGAAGGTGAAATCTTTCAATAGCGACACTTGATAGGGTTACAATTATCAAGGAGGGAATTTTGAACTCATCCCTAATCTATCCAGTGCTAAAAACGTTTTGGCTCTGGAAATACTTTATTAATAAAAATGTTGTTGGATTTCTTGTTTATTCCTATGGCTGCCAATTTTAGTGTCCAAAAATTGTATTAAGGCTTTTTATGAAGAATTATTGTCTAAACTCCCTATTTTATCATATAGGAGTCTCAGAAATATATCAGAAGAACCATAAAATAGATGCACAGATATATGGTAAGTGTGTGTAATGCGAACTCTCCTTACTGGAAGATGGAAATGTGATACCAATGGACAACTCTTCCTAACGTGTAGTGTAATTGCAGAAAGCTAATTGGCTGCTACATTTAAATAAAAGGGTCATGTATTATTTATTGACAGAAACCCTAAAAGTCTAATGAGGTCAGGATATAAGTCAAGAAGAGAAACACAAGAACAGAAAAACGTATTTTTCTGTATTGTCACACCTCATCTAGTATCAAGGGGAAGTGAAGGATCCTTCATCTCTTGGACCTGGCAACAGTTACCACCATACTTTTGCTCCAGCCAACTTTCTTTCTTACCTTTAAATCGGACAAGTCTGAAGACAGGGGAGAGTTGTATGCTGGACCTCCTCGAACCTTGGTCAATGCCAGAAGAAGCAGGACAAACGTAAAGTACCCAACAAGTGAGGTCCCCATTGCCCTTGGAAGCTGTGTCCCTTTAGCTTCTTGCACCTGAATCCTTCTCTTTCAATCTTGCTTCTGTCCCTGTTTTATGTTCTGGCTTCAGCAACGTCTACTTTTATATAGGTGCCACCCTGACATGAGCCTGTCCCAAGCATGAACTCATCCACATTCCAGCACTTCCGAAAAGATAAAGAAGCTGTTTGCAGGCCAACAGAAGATTCCCTTTTAAAGTTATCCCAGCCTTGCTATTGCACCACAACCTTCTCATAAAGCTACCGGTGCACTTGACCAGACCGACCCTCTACTAGTGGACCGACATTCCTAAGTGAAGACATTTTTTCACATTCAGGGTCTCTACCATTTCACCTTTCTGAGTACTTAAATAGTTTCTAGGTAGCTCATGGAAAATAGGAGACAATTCAATCTTTTTGCCATCCCGTAATGGCTGGACCAGCATGTGACACAGCCATGCATGTGACTGCACTATGATGACAATATCTGAACTATTTTTCTTGTGGGACATCTGCATGTCACATGCTCCATGCCATTATCAAAACATAACTGAATACCCATACACCATCATCATAGGACAATTCAAGAACAACTTGGGCTGATGAAAAAAGAAAAACATGAAATCTATTTCTTTGCAATCCATTCATGAATGATCTGGGAGAATGAAATAGATAGTTTCCTTTTTAATGATGATACAGAATTATGTAGGGTTTTTAAAAATCAACCGGAGGCAGGGGCGGACTGACCATTTGGAAACTTGGGCACTGCCCGAGGGCCCGGGGTCAGCTGTACCACTAGATTCACGCACATGCAGGGGCGGACTGACCATTTGGAAACTCGGGCACTGCCCGAGGGCCTGGGGTCAGTAAGGGGCCCCCATGAGATGCCCCTGGTACCTTTTTCATAGGCTTTTTTGAGTTTGGGCAAGGACACAGGGGCCCCATGATCCCCTATTGCCCGGGGGCCCCATGAGTTGTCAGTCCACCCCTGACTGGAGGATTATTATATGGTAACATGGATGGTTAAGGTGGAAACACAAATGCAGAGTTGCTCTTACAGAGAACAACTTTAAATGTTAATTACTTTGAATCATTGCTTTAAAAATATATATTTTGTATTAAATTCCTCCTAAATAAAAACAGGGACCTTCCTGTGCCTAGGTACCTAGGTATGCCTTGAGCTTCATAGCCTGCTAGTCTCACCAGATTTGGAGTGAGATTTTGGTGAGATATGGTGATGTCACTACTGTACTGCGCACTGTTCTCCTTGCTGGAGAGGAAAACTGTACCTGGAGACCTGCATTTCAAGGATCTACGTGCTTCTGCTTCATTCATTCTGTGGCTCCATGCTTCCTCTAGCTCTCCTGCTGCCATGCTTCTTTAATTGACATCAGATCCTCACCCATTGGGGGGAAGGACTGACATGAGGAAGCAAATCCCTGCTCTTTTAACCAGATGACTCCCAACTCACAGAGACACAGTGCAGAGCTAGGTATAATAATTCAGTAATGGAGAAAAGTTTAGCTGCAAGCAGCCTATAGACAATACTGGTGGCTTGTCCTCTTCTTGCTCTTTGGGCACAGCCTCCACAGTTCAGGTCCTCTTTATATGGCAAATTAAATGTAATTTTGAAAAAAGTAAAGTTGCATGCATTAAATGAAACACAGTTAGTCAAAATAAAACTGGAGAACTTTGGAACACTTGTTGGCAATAAGCTAGGAGACACCACTCAATGCCAAGTGGAGGCTTGAAAAGCCAAAATATGATATGTATGAAAGGAGGAGATGCAAACACATATTGTTAATGTAGCAGGCTCCTTGTACAAGAGGATTCAGAAGGAATCGCATGTTCAGCAGTCAGTCTTTTTCTCTCTCTCTCCTATTTGTAAAACCTGGGCATTCTGCCAAGTTCATCCACTACACAGCAAAGAACGCTGGGAGGGAGAGGAAGCAGGAAGTGAAGGGGGGAGAACAGAGAGACACGAGGCTGGAGAAAAGACAGGGACATGTGGAGCCCGTCCAAGCAGAGGAGGAGGCACTACAGCACCCAGCGCAGATAGAGGGACCCTGCTGTGTGTTCAGAGTCTGGTGAGCTGTCCCCCTGGAGAGAGTAAGACACACCATTTACACTTTGCATATAGACTGGGACATCCACACCCCACTGCTGGGATCTCACCCATCTGGGGCCCTGTGCAAACCACAGATCCCCCTGCCTGCTTTGCCCCTCACCACCAGTGTAATTGAGACTGTCTGCCCCGGGGACTGACACATACTGGGAGATTGCATCCTGCGACTGCCCCTGGTCTTGGGGTGCTTTGTGTTGCGTTCAGACACTGAGGTTGGACCCTCTCAGCCCAGAAACCTAGTGAAATCGGATGTAACCCACACCAGCTGAAACTCCAAAGAAACCTTCAGCTGCTATTTACTTCATTGTAAGGACTAAACGTGCACCAACGAGAGCTCCACCGTTACAAGGACTGAAGTGGGGGAATCTGGCTTAGTAGCTTTATTAGAGGTACCTCTTTATTGCATTCTGTTCTGACTCTGAGGTGATTTTTGGCTAACGCCCCTCAGAAGCAGAATCATACATCGGTGTGGGTAATACATTTCATTGATAGAGTATAAGTAAGTTTATTTGTTTGATATCAGTTGTATTCTGCTTAAAGTGCAACTCTGCCATCAGGAGATTTTTGGCTGTGAAGCCCTCTAGTGGCAGACCAAATTTACTGCATTACACAAAAAGAAGAAAAGTAAGTTTTGAAGTTGAAAGGGGAACCCCACCCCTCTACACTGCATTTCATTCTCCATAAAATTGTTCTTGTTTCATTTAACCCTGTGTCAGCAAATTTCTTGGCGGGGTATTTGCTATTCATTACCAGTTGTGCCAGAGGGATTGGGTTTGCTTAGGGTTGGATCTATTGAGCGCAGGACCCATAATATATTCCAGCTTGTCCCAAGGGGCTGTGCTACACGTGGGGGCTCGTCCGGGATTCTTGCTGCTCAATTACCCAACAACCACTCAAGCAGTGCCCTATACCAACTCCTAAGATGGACGTCGCAGCCGCGACCAAGTGGTGCAGCACGGAAAATGCTTGCCCAGAACGGAGTGTAGTGGTCGAGTTCCCCAGAGAAATGGGGACCGAAGAACAGATTACCAAGATAGTGAATGCACTACCACAGAGGGAAAGAAAACATGGGTGATAGATGTGATACCCGCCTCAGACACCACCCTGGCATATGCCCTGCTAGAGTGGAAGAAGGGGATCTCTGACAGTTTCCAAGGAGCCAATATCCAAATAGAGGATGGGACAAGGCTCCAGTTACTTCAGTTGAACACCCCCGGGCCTAGTTGTGCAAAACCTGAGAGGGAAGAACCCCTGTCCCAGACACCTCTAGCCACCATAGGCCCGGAATTCCTCACTGCATTGGGGGACTTCATGTTAAAATGCCGCAAAGACCCCTCTCCATACACAGGGATGTATCGGAAGCTCCGATTCTTCTCGGGTAGGCAACCAATAGCTACCGGGGAGGATGGCTTTGAAGAGTGGCTAGACCAAGCCATGCAAGCACTAAGTGAATGGGACATTCCTGAGGCCCACAAGAAACAGAGGATTACGGAGAGCCTAAGGGGCCCTGCATTGGAGGCCATTCGCAACCTAAAACTTAGCAAACAGGATTGCACTGCTCAGGGCTATCTAGATATTTTACAAGATGTATTTGGGCGTACTGAAAAGGCTTCAGACCTCATCTATCAGCTAGAGCATACCTACCAAAATGAAGGGGAGAAACTCTCCAGTTACATGGGACGTCTAGACAAGATAATATACCAAATTCTGCTAAAAAGGGGAATAGGCCCTGAAAGAGTAGATGAGGTTCGGGACGCAACAAGTCCTACGGGGAGCCAGGCCCCTAGACCCCATTGCCATTCTATTACGAACTCGGCGAGATGGTGGCCTCCTGAACTATCCAGACTTGATCCGGACTGTGAGAGAGGAGGAAGCCATGTTGGATGACAAAGAGAGACAGTCAGACTCTGTTGTAGGGGTCCGGGTAGTCAATGTGGGATGTGACACCCCTGAAGTTGAACTCCTTAAGACTCAGGTGTCCCAACTAATAGAGATGGTGACCTTACTAATGGCGGGGACCGTCGGGTTTAGCGAGAGAGACGAGAGCAGTTTCTGAAAACCTGTCAGGAGTTGCCCCAACGCAAGCAACTAGTCCCACCATTCAAATGATCTGCTTTAATTGTGGAGGGACCGGACATGTCAGGAGAGTCTGTCCGAGCCCCAGGAAGCCTGAAGCTAAGCGCCAAAAACCGGCGGAAAACTTCAGAGGGCCCTGGTGAAGGAGCAACCCAGGGACCCCACCACCGCAGCTAGCTCCACTCAACCAAGTAAAAGGGGGGCGAGGAGAAAATCTGGCCCTATCCAGAAGGACCCCACCATCCCTTACAAACAGCCTAGGGAAAATGCCACTTCACCTCAGGGAGTCAGTGCACACCTCAAACCTGGGAGTCAACCACGGCTTAGGCCGAGCCAAAACTCCCCCAGGAGGAGAGTAAGGATAAGAACTGCAGAACAGAAGAAGACGGCTACCTGTTCACCACTCCCTGAGAATTTAGTGGGACCCTCCCCTGTCATCCTGATTCAGGTAGAAGGGATTTATACCAGGGCTCTTCTGGACACCGGAGCCCAAGTAACCCTTCTGTACCGAGACTTCTATGACAAGCATCTGAAGCATTTGCCCTTGCAGAAGCTGGAAGATCTAGAAATATGGGGCATAGGAACCCAGAAGTTTCCCTATGATGGTTACCTATCGGTCAGACTAACTTTTGATCCTTCCATGACAGGGAAGGCTGAGACTTTCAAAGCCTTAGCTGTCATCTGTCCCCGGCCGCCTGGGGCCAATAGGAGTCCCCTAATCATAGGGATCAACACCAATTTGTCAGAAGGACTGTTGGGCGCCACATCGAAGAGCCAATGATCACCCACTTCTGTAACAT